CATTACAGGTGCTACCAATGGAGTAAAGCAAGGCGGGGTTCTCTCTCCTGTGCTTTTCAACTTGTACATGGATGAACTGTCACAGCAGTTGAATAACTGCAGAACTGGTTGTATGATTGGATCAACCCTGGTCAACCATCTTATGTACGCTGACGATCTTGTCATCCTGAGTCCTAGTAGTGTGGGATCAAAGGAACTGCTAGATATTTGCTCAAAGTTTGGGGTGGATTTTGACATCAACTACAATTCTAGTAAGAGTGTCATCATGACCTGTAGAACAAAAGAAGATAAAGGGTTACAGTTTCTCCAATTTCAAGTATTTGGTAATGTTTTGCCTGTGACGGACAAATAGAAATATTTGGGGCACTTTATTAATGATGAATTTACTGATGATGATGATATCGATCGGCAATGTCGTAGAATGTATGCACAGGCTAATATGTTAGTGCGTACAGGGTATCTGCAGGTTCAAGGGAGCCAAATTTAAGACTTTTGAAGAACTTTTTTTAAGGCCACTTTGACCAAATTTAAGCAATTTTTAAAATTAAATGTAAGCTATAATTTCCAGCTATTGCCTGGAACCGGTGCTAACCACGTCGCGATTGTGGTATTAGCGATCCAGTTACCATTAAACTTACACTTCCCCATGTTGCAGGCTCCTGCTAGCTTAACCAGCTAATGTGCTCATCTAAAAACAGCCCCCTTTCACAACCAACTGAATGTGTACGCTTCCGCTTACACCAACATCGTACACATAAAATGTTGAACACCAACTAGAAATTCATGAAAATTTTATAGAAATAAAAGAATCTTGTTTATTGGGTCTTTGGTAATTTAAGACCTTTGGAAATTGTATTTAAGGATTATTTGTCATTTTTAAGGATTTTTAGGGCCTTAAATTTGGAAAAGTAAATTTAAGACTTTTTAAGGACCCGCAGATATCCTGTGCGTAGGTTTGGTATGTGCACTAATGCAGTTAAAAAGTTAAAGTATACTGTACTCAATTGTATACAGCTCATTTGTGGTCTTCCTATAAGCAAACAAGTCTTGAGCGTCTCAATGCAGCATATAATGATTGTCTGAGAATATTGCTAAAGAGGCCTCGTTGGGAAAGTGCGAGTTGCTTGTTTGTCTCTTCTGGGATCGGTACATTCCACGCTATGTTGAGGAACTTGATGTTTAAGTTTTTTTGTCGAGTTAATCAATGTGAAAATGTTATTATTAAGTGCTTGGTTGATGTTGACTGTAGCACCACACGCTATCAGTCTGAACTATGGCATTATTGGTATAGGTGTTTATATTGACTTCCTTGTATCTTTGTCTTTTCTTGTGTAGTTTTTATCTTATGTTTGTTTTTATTGTCTCTGGACCTCGAGTCTGTTAATAAAGTTGATTCTGTTCTCATTGTTATGTAATCTGGAGGATTAGGGCATTTAAAACATAATTTATTAGCTTAAATTATTGTCATTTATCACTGCTTTATAAATAACCACAACCATCAAAATGAGCGCTATACAGTCAAGCTAATGGAACTGTTTATTGTGCTTATTAAACAGTTATAAATGCCACACAAGATGACTGTAGTAAAGTGTAAAACATCCATGTAACCATTGATTTATGGTCATTTGTAACATCTAGGATTAAGTCTGTGTTCTCACAAAGCATTCAGAGATCGAAGCAAGTGCTTTTGCATTGTCTAGACTTGATAACTGTAACTTTCTTTATGCAGGACTGACTTAGTCGGCAGTCTCAAGACATCAGATGGTACGAAAAAGCACATATCTCCAGTCCTGGCTGCTCTGGTGGTTACTGGTAAAGTACCGCATGGAGGTCAAGGTGCTGGTCCAACACATTCTCACTCCCAACGCGTCGGAAACAAACGCTTGGTCACCGACCCTCCGCGTCAGACTCCAAAGATGAAAGTGATCTTTTTCGTCACAGCTGGGGTTTGGGATGTCTGCTGGCGTGGAACCAAACCAGCAGATTCCATCGCATCCGAACCTTAATCCTCTTTCTACTTCTAACGTTCCCGCCGCACCCAATCCTGACGTTTCCCACCTAGCCTCCCCCTCGCCTGGGCCCCAAACCGACACATTCTCAGTCCGAACTCGCGGGACAGACACGTTTGGTCCCTGTGAGGGGAAGGTTTGTGGCTGCAAGAGGGTTCAGGTTAGGATGGGGGTGAAATGTGCTGGAGCGCGGGAGCTGACACGAAGGGTCAGTGACCCAGCGTTTGGTTCCGTAACGACTAGTCGGTGGATCCTAGGTCCAAAGACATGAGTCCTAAACGGTAAATAGCACTGTTATTTAGCATTCTGGTAACAAGGGTTAATATAATAAGGGTCCCTATATTAAGTTACATAGCGCATTATTAAGCATTAACAAACAAAGGGTCCATATATTAACATATTGTTAACTATTAAGTGTCCTTAAGGTTAGGACAAAGGGTCACGGAAGGGATGTCTGCTCGTTAATGCATAATATTAACATTAATATTAAACAGATGTTAATACTTTATTTAGTAGTTTATTAATGTTTAATAATGCACCAAGTAACTTAATAAAGAGGCCCTTATTGTAAAGTGTTACCAGCATATAAATTAGCCTCGTTAACTAAAGCTTTACAACACCAGGCCACAACGAGGCTCACTTTTACAATGCGTAATAGACACTTATTAATGATTACTAACGTGTTCAGATGAAGTAATGATATTAATAACGTATCTTAAAAGTCACGTGTGAAATCCATGGCCACATCAAACAGGATTGGGAATTAGCTTTTTACTTATTGACTCATGAGGAGACTTCGGATCCCGATGTTTTCGCCTCGTCTCTTTTTACTGATACCTCTGTGAGTGGCACTAGCAACCCTTCATACATGTATGATGCACTTTAGAGAATTAAAATCCACCTTCCAGCAGCGGGCTACGGATACGTTCACGAGGAACCCAAACCAATGCTTACATGCAACAAAGACTAGTTCTTCTCATTTAACGCAACCCGTTTCCATGGTTACCAACCAAAAGGGCCTTCGTTCATGTCCCCTTCATCACATCTGGGCACTTCCCACCTCCCGTGCTCACGTCACTACATCACATCTAAGGTCTAGCCTCTAGTTCTGCTCCTCCTGCTTTAATTTTATTTTTTTTACACCCGTCAGACAAAGACTTCCTCTCTCGGTGAAATCCAGACACACACACTGTGCTAAAACTCTGACTCTAAAGAAAACAACTCCTGGCTGTAGCTAGGCAACTCCAAAAATGAGTCATCTGTCTGCCGCACCCTTCATCAACTGATCCTCCCTACCACCACCACCATCACCCTCTGAACCTCCACCCAGCTCTTCCATGAGATTCCTTCCTGTGAAGCACGGTGAACACCGTGCATCCTTTCACATATGGAGCCAGAGGCAGAGCCTACAACAGCACCACCACTGCAGCCGGCACACGACCAGGCTGGTGACAAATCACAACTAATGTCATAAAAACTTTATTTAGTGCCATTAAAACAAAATTTGGTGGTAAAATTACAGGTTTTCTGTGACAAGCCTGAGGGCAGAGGGCCAACTGCACTACGAGTCAGATGACAGAAACAGGTGCGCTGCTGCCCTCTAGTGGACACCAGTAACCTGGAAGCTTTGAAGATATTTCACTAACATTTTATGCTGGAAGTTATTCATATAAGCTGATAATAGAACTCTTTTGTTCACATAATTAAAAAAATTCTAAACTGTTATCAACATCAGATGATTTCAAACTATAAAGGACCAATTTTCTTAGTGTTAGTATATTTGGAACCTTGCCGGTACTGACAGTGTTTAATGCATTTTTTAGACTTTTTTTATTTTGAATTTCAAATTCAGCTGCACAGTGGAGAAGTGGTTAGTGCTGCTGCCTTGCAGCAAGAAGGTCCTGGGTTCGATTCCCAACCTGAGGTCTTTCTGCGCGGAGTTTGCATGTTCACGTGAGTTCTCCCCAGGTACTTCCTCCCACAGTCCAAAAAATGACTGTCAGGTTGACTGGTCTCTCTAAACTGTCCGTGTGTGTGTGTGCGTGCGTGTGTGTGTGTGTGTGTGTGTGTGTGTGTGTGTGTGTGTGTGTGTGCGTGTGCGTGTGTGTGTAAGGTTGTTTGTGTGTGTCTCTGTGTTGTCCTGCGATAGACTGGCGACCTGTCCAGGGTGTGCCCCATCTGTATGCCCGGAGGTTGCTGCCCCCGCGATCCTGCATGGACAAGCGGGTTAGACGATGGATGGGTTTTCAAATCCAGCAATTTATTAGTCCCAGAGGGAAATAAATAAATTAGTAATAAATTAAATTTGGTTTAGCAGTAAATAAATAAGGTTTGGCCATTAATTAATTAATCAATTAATTGATTAATTATTTATTTAGTGATTAAGTAAATAAATAATATGGAATCAGCTTTCTCGTGACCTAAAATGAGCTCCAACTCTAGAAACTTTTAAATCAAAATTGAAAACTTTCATGCATTCATCAGCCTTTGAATGAGTGTTTCTGATGCTTGTGCTCTGTAGCTGCTCACCCTTTCACTTGACCTTTTATCTGATTTTTAAATCTGAAATTGGTTTGTGTGCTCAGTTTGATCCAAATGCATTTGTGTGTTTTAACGACGCTGTCACGTTGATTCTGCTGTTCTTGCTCCTGGAGCGCTGCTGTGCCTAATACGTTTGATTTCAGGTCACACCAGGGCTACCTCACAGAACACACAGATGAAAACTGAGACAGCAAAACAGTTTTAGAGGCCATTTGGCTGCTTGATCGCCCGTTTGAAGAGAGCTCCTAAAATCTAAACATCACAGCAACAATAAAGGATTATTTTCTTTATTTTATTAACTGTTGCAGTGATCATCAGCTCCTGCTGAGCATGTGTGACTGATTACAGCCAATTAGTGAACAGGTGTGCTGGCAGGAAGTCTACAAATTAAAGTACCACAGGTTAGTGGGTCCCAGTGTTTAGGTGCATAGAGGAAAACTTGGATTGGTCATGCATTTAAAACAAAAAGCAAACAGCTTTGGTTTCCTGCTTCTTTACATAGTCACAACCTTACTGTCAGCTGGGAGGTGTGAGTCTACATCTCAGCCCCTCCAACCAGCCGCTCATGAGGCCTCGTCCAGGAATCTCCACCCAACGCCTACAAACGCCGTCCAGAGGAGGAAGAACAGAGCAGGAGGAACTGGACCAGAGCTGAGGCTCAAACCCAGGATGGTGGCGAGTGGCTTCAGACCTCGCTTCAAACGGAGACCGAGCGAGAAAGAAAAGCTGCTCAGCTCACCCAGACTTCCTGCTGGAAACTGTAGCAGAGGGATCATCAGACATGTGTTCCCGGGAAAGTTCTACACCACCGGTCAGATTGAGCCGAACCTCAAACATCTTCTTCATCAGGTGGATTCAGGTAAGAGGACCCGCGTCTGCCCGGTTCCTACGGGGCTCTGGTTGGAAATGAATGTATGAAATGCATAATCAGGCTACCATAGCTAAAAAATGCTACATAAAGTGTGTGTGTGTGTGTGTGTGTACCTTTTCAGTGATTGGCTCATCCTCGAACAGGATTATACTCATGGTGTGTGAACAGTTGTGTGTAGTAGGAGCAGGGTGTTAACGAGACATGTTTCTGGTGTACACACACACACGTGTGACTTCTGCCTTGCTGTGTGCTACATACATTTCCTGTTTGTGTTTTCCAGCCCTGGGTCGGGGAGGCCAGGCGAGGAGCAGCGGTCAGCAGTCCAGCGGTGCGAACGAGAGCTGGCAGAAGCTGGAGCCTACGGTGGAGTGTGGAGACGACTCCATGCTGCTGACGGTCAGGAGGAAACGAGCCATGCAGCTGCTGCTGGACCGAGGTCAGACAGCTCACACAACTGTTAAAGGTCACACACACTGGTGTGTGTGTGTGTGTGTGTGTGTGTGTGTGTGGTGAAAATTGTCCTCTGCATGTGACTCGTGCCCATGAGCTTGAAGACATATTTGGTGGTTTAAGCCCCAATCCAACCCCTTGAAGCTGAGCGTCGATTTTCTAGGAGTGTCGGTGACAATTGGATCCCATTATTCAAGTCTTTGGCATGACCTGACCGGGACTTGAACTCCCAGTCCCAGGGGCGGACGTTCTACCACTCGGCCACTGAGCTGATCACTAGTCCAGAAAGATGGCTCTCTTCTTTTTATGATGTAGGTCAAGTAGAAGTGTGGAGTTAAGCAACAAATGACCAGGTTACTTTTGATCAGTAGTGATGACATCAGTGACGTCTGCATCATCAGTAGGCTGCAGGAACAGATTTATGTCAGCAGGTGGCAGAGTTGAGTGATTCTGGGCTGATGGTGATTTCTGATTCTTGTACTGCTTTGATACAGATTTATTATTTTTAGTCTGATATCTCAGATGTTTTCTGATTAATTTGAATGGAAGATCTCTTATTGCTACAGACTGTTCTTAAAGCTCTATAGCAGAAAAATGCTGCTACGGGAGCCTCAAGGTCCAATTAGTGCACAAAAATTATTTCAGGGGTGTCTGCTAGTAGAAGCTAACCGTTAGCAACTCCACAACATGGCAGAACTCCTCCAGGCTTGTGTTATTTATGAAGATACAGCATCAGCATGGCAGAGCAAACACACTCTGTGGTAGTTGTGTTAGCCAATCAGAGAAGAGATGTTTGCACACTGTCGAGTAAAACTCTAAATCCTGCTGTTCCCGACTCCTACGACTGACTTCTACCTCCTGGAACGGAAGTACCAGAGCTCCTTCTGCACGGAAAACTCCCGAGGCATTCCTTCACACTAGAGACCTCAGTCAAAGCAGCGAACGAGAGCTTTAGAGGAAACGACTTGTGTTCATAAGCTCGTTGGTCTAACGTGTTATTACTTTCTGGGTGTCTTGTGGAAATGAGCTGCAACTTGTTTTCCTCCTGCAGAGGAGTGGTGTGCTTCACCTTTTTATTTAGTAATTATTCCAAACATAAATGTAATGGCCAATGTAATGGTTCTGTCCGTAGGGAATGAGTCGTCGCTGCTGCTGTTCCAGCTTCCCCCTCGGTGTGGTTACTCTGTTCAATCCACAGTGAGGGACTTCAGTCTGAGGGCTCAGTACGACGCCTGCCACGTGGCTCTACAGGTGCACTTTGGCTTGTTTCAGTCACAATGTCATGCTTTACTTAAACTGGACACTTCTGAGCATCACATTTAAATCCTGAGCTAGTTTATGTGCAAGGGCGCCCCCAAGGGGTGGCCAGGGGTGGCCATGGCCCCCCCAGGAAAAGTCAGTGTTAATAAATCATATTAATGTTTAGTCAAACCATATATTGATCTTGTTTGTTCAAGACATAATTGTAAACCAAATAAAATAATAAAATAAATTCAAGAAATAATCAGAATAAAAAAATAAATACATACGTTTCTGCTGCTCACCATTTTAAAGTTTTTATCTCTATAGTTTTTTGTGAACACAGCAACAGGTGAATTAACCTAAAAATGTAATTTTAAATAAAATTTGGAATAACATTTTAAATAACTGAAATGTCTGTAAAATTTAAGTTGAATGATTTGGATACGTACTGCTTTTTTTAAATAAAAATGAATGAAGGAGCAATGCTACATGCTAAACTCTCCCAGAGTTACAACAAGGACCAATTTGGTGTGCCACCCCAAAAATATATTTGGTCCCATCTGGCCACCCCTACCCCTATCAAAATTTTCAGGAGGCGCCCGTTTATGTGGTACGTGGGATTTAGACAAAACCATTAATCTTTGTAGTGCTGGTTAGCAGACGCATGTTTAATGGAAGTGTAGAGATTAACAACATACTAGAATCAACACTGTTTGCTATCAGTTGTTAATTCTGAGAATGACCGAGCATATTAGCATGTGAGCCTGTGTCACGTATAAATATCCAAGATACTTATATAATCAATAGAAGCTCATACCCCAATTCACTTAGTCTATTTTTAATCCAGAGATTAATGTTTAATTTAAGATGATTACATTTTATAGCAAAAGTTTATTTTTGAATCAGAAGCTAGGAATCGTTGCATTTTCAATAACCAGAAATATTATCCCTTTCTGTGTTTCAATTCAATAATGAGGCAAGTTTAAAAAAGAAGAAATTTTATTACTAACAATTTTAAACTTAAAGATTTGAACAATTATAAACAACAATTCACGGATGACAATTTAATGACATTTTTTAACAGCTTTGATATCCTCTGGTCCAGAGATGTCGCCGGGTACACAGTCGAGCGTTTGGCTTAGCTGTTTAGAAGTTTCTCGTCTTAACTTTACTCAGAAGTCAACTCTGTAAGGAGTTTTTCGTCAGCTGGTTACAGTTTACGTTTATTCTTGGCTATTGTCGGCGTGACAGAACAGCTTGGCAGAGGGTCAGGACGGCCGTCCCGTCTCCTCGGGATGGTGTTGGTTCAAGACCTGACTTGAAGCTGGTGTTGGTTAGTTTACAAAGCTGTCAGAACACTCCCACTCTCTCAGCAAGAAAGCTTTGGTCATGCGTCAAAAACATGTGTTGGCAGTTATTGTTTAGATGAACTCTGTGTTAGATGGATAAGGTGGAAGCTGGCCGCCTTTGCTGAACACATTACTGTCATCAACCATAATCATAATTGATCATTATTACACCAAAATAATAATTCATTTCATGTAATTAAAATACCTTTATACTGAACCAAGTGATTATTTATGATGATTACAATAAACAGTAATAAAATCAAAGTTTATTAATATTAATTATTATCATCGTGAACTTGAAGTGTCCTTCTCCTGGGACGGAACAGCAGCAGATAAGATGGATCTTTAGCAGACATCATGGCTCCTTGGTTAATCTGTGGATTTAAAAGTACTGTTCGACCCAGCTTGACCCAGCTGGGTAAATGTGATCTTTGCCACAAAATGGAGAACCTTCCGTGATGCTACAGAAGTGACTGTGGTCTAAAGGAGAGTTCGGGGCTTTCCCAGTGGCTGAGAGCTGCTTCCAGCTGAAATCTTAACGTGTTTTTAAATGCAGGGGGGCAGCCATGTTTTGCCGCTCCTTTGGCGGGGGATTCCAGTCAAGGTGTCCTGTCCCGAGTCTCAGATCAGACTTCCAGGAGAGAGGCCGACCTCCCTCTGCTGCTTTCCGAACGGGATGACTTTCAGGCTTTCAGACCTGTCTGCTGAGGAGTCGCGTGTAAATGGTACAAAACTTTCTATTAAAAAATTCACCCTTTTTGTCTTTTTAATCTGAATTTGTTTGAATTTGTTTCCACAAAGTGAGAGGAGAATGGACACCTTTATCCCTGTTGGCCAAGCGGTGTGGCTACACCCTCCACAGACGAGATGCCGCTGTGATCATCGCAGCCCCGTTTGTTACCTGTGGAGTCTCGCTGAAGGTAAAACTCAGTGGCTACAAACCAGTTAAACCTCAGGCGTTGAGTCGGGTTCTGATGAAGACGGTGTTCGCTGATCAGAATTAAGTTGGCATGGCGACACTCGGATCCTGCTTCACCATGAATCGGGCGGTGTTCACATGTAGCTGGGTTGTTTAACTCAAACATCCTCCCCCGCCCATCTAATTAACTTGGGTCCACACCACCTCGTCTTAAGCAGGACATCCAGAGGCAGCACAATCATAGGCATGCCAAGCCTGTAGGTGGCAGTAGTTTCCCTGTAGGTGGCAGTAGTTTCCCTGTAGGTGGCAGTAGTTTCCCTGTAGGTGGCAGTAGTTTCCCTGTAGGTGGCAGTAGTTTCCCTGTAGGTGGCAGTAGTTTCCCTGTAGGTGGCAGTAGTTTCCCTGTAGGTGGCAGTAGTTTCCCTGTAGGTGGCAGTAGTTTCCCTGTAGGTGGCAGTAGTTTCCCTGTAGGTGGCAGTAGTTTCCCTGTAGGTGGCAGTAGTTTCCCTGTAGGTGGCAGTAGTTTCCCTGTAGGTGGCAGTAGTTTCCCTGTAGGTGGCAGTAGTTTCCCTGTAGGTGGCAGTAGTTTCCCTGTAGGTGGCAGTAGTTTCCCTGTAGGTGGCAGTAGTTTCCCTGTAGGTGGCAGTAGTTTCCCTGTAGGTGGCAGTAGGTTTCCCTGTAGGTGGCAGTAGGTTTCCCTGTAGGTGGCAGTAGGTTTCCCTGTAGGTGGCAGTAGGTTTCCCTGTAGGTGGCAGTAGGTTTTCCCTGTAGGTGGCAGTAGGTTTTCCCTGTAGGTGGCAGTAGGTTTTCCCTGTAGGTGGCAGTAGGTTTCCCTGTAGGTGGCAGTAGGTTTCCCTGTAGGTGGCAGTGGTTTCCCTGTAGGTGGCAGTGGTTTCCCTGTAGGTGGCAGTAGTTTCCAGAACCTTTAGAATCTTTACTTTTACGAGGTGGTGGATGATAACTGTCCTCCACGTGGTCCTTCACCTGTGGTCTTCTAGAGCAGTTACTGAGCCAGTGAAACAAGCTAGCGACGTCGGAGCATTTGTGTCGCGGAGCGAAACCTAAAACTTTGGTGATTTTTCACTTTAGAGCTCTTGAAATACTAGTCTGGGTCGTCATCCACATAAAAGTAAAGCTGAAACCACAAACTGCAGAAGATCTTGGTTTTGTGGCTCACCCGGCTGCATGTGTAGAGGGTCTAGAAGTTGGTTCGGCTGTGTGGGAGTCAGGTCCGAACACTGCTATGTTTATAAACACAGTGAACTCCCATCAGCTGGCGTCTGCAGGTCCTGCTGGGGTGTCGTTTCTCTTCACAGCGGTGTTTAACTTAGAAGATGGAATGGGTGTTACTTAAAATGATGTTTATAACCTGACCAGTGGGTGAACTGTCTTTACTCCGTAATGATCCGTTCAGAAACTCGCTGAACTAACCTCCAACACTGATGGTGTCGCGTCTGTAAAACGATTCTGTGGAAAACGAAGTGATTCTTGGCTCGTGAATGACTTTGGTCAGGATCGGAGCAAAAGAATCGTGACTGGCACATCTCAGATGTTCACCTGCTTCTCTGCAGATCTGAATGTGGTTATTTTCCATGTCTACAGGATGGAAAACACACACTTTATCTTCGAATGGGAAGGAAAACCTATTCATTGGCCTGTCCTGTCCGTCCCCTTGAGGAACTTCCTGTTACCCGACAGTCTCTCGCTGATGGGCCTCCTGACCTCACAACGAGAGCCGTAAAACCGAACCTCGAGTCTTTGAGTCCTTTACTCTGGATCCCACCTTTCTACTTGGCTCCCCCCAACTACCCCCACCCTACATATCCAAACGTTGTCCTGTACGGCTCCCCTAATCCTCCACCTTCGGCGCAGGAGTCTGCTCTTGGCGCCCAGCAAAAGCACAGCGATGACATCTACCACCAGATTCCTCTGATGGAGGCGTACCTTTCAGCTCAACACCAAGCGAAGGATTCGGGTCCGTTGGAGCAGAATAAACGTCAGCATCCCGAAGTTCCCGTTTTGGATCTCTTTGATAAAGGTGCTGATGCTACACGCGTTCCTGTACAGGTGGAAACTCCTCGCCCCCCTCCTCCAGGCCATGATTTCAGCTCCTACTACCACTACTACCACCTCCCAAAGATTCCCCTTCCTGTAACGCCTCAGAAATCCAAACCAGGTCCAGGAGCGTCCGGAGAGTTCTCAACAAACTCTCGGAAACCTGAAACTCCATCAGCGCTCCCTAAAACCAAACAGTCTGACACGGGTCCTCTTCCTGTTACTATGCCATCTCCACACACGGTCCCAACACGTTCCCAGGTGTCTGCGCAGTACGCTCCCTACCCTCTACAGCCTTTTCCGTACTTCTATTACTACTTCCCACATATTTCTAAGGGCGAGGTGAAACGGTTGGGTCTTTATTATCCGGACTTGGCCACAAAAACAAACCTGTCCCTTGTCCTTTCCACTAAGTCGTCGGAACGCTCCGGCTATGATGAACACAAAGTAAATCCATCTTCAAACGAGCTGAACGTGGATAAAACGGACTCACTGGTACAGGCTGGCGGTGAAAGACGAGCCGCTGCGGTGACTCTTGCGGTGCAGTTTCCATTCTCAAAGCGTCGCTCCCTCCAACCAGCTCCTCTTGCTGTTCCTCCTCCTGAACATGTCCTCCCAACTCCTGGTTTCACCTACAACGCTGATCCCTACAAGTACTACTACCATCCTTACTACAACTACTATCTGAAGTACTACACACCCAAGGCTTCACATGAAACATCCAAACATGGGGCTCAAAGTGCAACCACAGCTGCAGCACCTTCTGGTCACAAACCCCGAACCACCTCTCCACCCTCAGAGCATCATCTACAGGACCAGCGTTATCTCTATTACTACTATCTCTACTACCTGCCTCACATGCTCAAGTACAAGCAGAAGCTACTACATGGAGGCGGTGAAGACACTTCTCAGCTCTCCTCCGGTCTTGATAAGCAGCCATCTGCTCCAGCTGCAGAGGCAGGGTGGTCTGGTGACCCCCCTCCAATACACGGCCTTCTCAGTCCATCTAAAGCCGCAGGACAACACGGTGGAAATGGAGGGAAGCTGGATAAAAAGATGCAAGGTGATCGTCACTCGTTTTTTCTGTCTTTAGGTGCACCAGGAAACAGTTTTTGCAGTTTTTATTTGTTTTTAAGATACAGGATTTGTTAATCTGTTCATTTTCTACAGAATGTGAGGTCAGTGCTTCAAAAGGATTTAAGGATTAAAATTTACACCAGCGTTTATCCTGCTAGTAAAAATGTTTTAGACGTTTCCTGCTCCTCCCCCCTACTGGTTGAAGGTAGAATTACAACTGTCGTAAACAAAGCTGCTGTAGCTAGCACTAACATTAGCTAACACCAACACGAGCTAGCTGATAATTAAACAAACCACAAAGTGAAAAGATCCAAACTGGCAGACGAAAAATATTACTTCAAAATCCAGTAACAACAAAGCCAGGTCACCATCAGTCTGTGATTTTGTAGCCTCCTTTAGCTCCCTCTAGCTAGCGTAGGCCGTGCCAATGTTCACTCTGGTTTTAGCTCTTTGCTTCACCTTCAAAGACATTAAGCCTTATTTATACTTCTCTGTCAGCTCGAGTGTGGAGTCATTTTACTATGGTTTGCATAGTTTAATGTATTTTAGGGACTTCTCAATACAGATAAAATTGTCCCTCATTCTCCAACTCTTCTTGCGATTTCCACCTCTAAACCCACGTTTCTAGACATTTCTGTCCACCATTAAAAATGCTTGCTCCATATCTTTGCACTCCTTTAGTCACAAATTCATATTTTTGGACCTTTTCTACGCTGCGTGCTTCAATCTGCTCTGTGTCGGCTGCTAAATATCTTTTTGTTTGAGGGGGCAATGGTGGTGCTGTTGAAATTAAAGGAAGCAACATTCTGACCAATTAAATGCTTGCGGTCTCCGTCACTTTTCAATGGATAAACAGTTGTGCATGTCTTCGTCGATGCTAAATGGCTGTGTGTCCATACAGACAGGGACAGAAGTATAAATTAGGCTTTACACTTTTACTTCCAGGCTCCACCATGATGCCAACAAAAAAGTTAACTTATTTTTTTGCTTTTTGATAATCAGCAAACAAAAAAAAAACTAACTGCTAGCATTACAGCTAACAACCGTAAAGCAGGTAAAGGGCGCCCCCTATAGGGGGGTGCGGTATTTGGTCTGCAGAGGGGTGTCGGACACGAAGCTGGTCAGGTTGCTAATTCAACAACCACTGAGATCAACGTTAAAACTCTAGCTTAAAGTTTTAAAAGCTGTTTAGTGTTACTGAACTGAAATAACTCTACACCAGTACTGGTTCTCAGTTATTTTGTGGTTCTGACCTGCTGATATCAATCTTAAAGTTTAAAACCAAAAATCTAAAATGATGCATCTAGCTTTTAAAAACTGCATAAGTACAATAACTATAGGGGTTAGTCGTATTATGTAATGAATACAATTTCCCCCTGCCACCTGTAGACCCTCCACCAGGGGGCAGTATAGGGCTGGATCGGGCAGGTTTCTGGTGAAGGTGCTAATCCTGATGCTCCATCTGGACACCTTAAGGCCAGAAGGGGTTAACGGAATACCGTCTACATAGAAACAATAAAAACGGTGCGTTATGAACCAGAGAAACTAAATCTGTCTGATCACCAGTTAAACAGATCAGGAGACGGTGGGCTTGAACAAAACAAAGTTGGACATTTTTTCTTACCGTTTGCTTTATTCACTCGGATCACCTTCAGGCTAATCTGGACACACCCATCGCCCCACCCTGAGCTGTCAGTTTGACTAAACCCATCTTGTTGATACTTGTCTGAATCTGTGATTCTCAGGCTCGACTTCTACACCCACAGTGTTTGTTTTATCCTCCGGTTTTAATCTCAGAGCTGCCTAACTTGTCCTTTTGTGTGTTTTGAGTTAACAGACACACAAGGGCAGTATTTGGTCTTTGCTGTGCCTCGCTCTGTGGCGAATCCCTCAGTGGATCCTCCTGACAACAGCAAACATCCATGCGTGCTGCAGAAGGTCAGCTCTCCTGACCTCCACTTTCCTCAGGATGGCTGTGACCCAGACCATCATGTAAGGTTCACTTCTCTGCACATTCATCCCCAAATCCTCAAAACTACTTTGGTTTATGCTGCTGCTGCAAACTGATCTAAATTCCTGATGTTCAGATTTGAGCTTAAATGCACGTTTACATAAAATTAGACGCAAATATTCTTAGAAACTAAACATCAAAACCTCTGAAAAGTCAGTTTCTGAACCAAACCTGTTTTGTGTGACATGTTTTATCATCTCAGGAGTTTGGTCAGAGGATCCAGTCCCACGAGGACATCGGTTCTTCTCCTGGCAGGTACGTCACCGATGGCTGCCTTTGTTCTGTCAGCATTCAGAGTTAGCGGTTTGTTTACATTCAGTTTATCTCCATTCATGCCATCAGTTTCCCAAGAATTCTCCTTTTGCATTGCAAACAGCATTGGCACGACTGACTCGGAAAGCAGGAACGAAATTGCACACAGCAGCCATGTTTCCACTCTGGGGTTCAGGAAACTTCTGTGAGGGAGGAAAATGACGGAGCTACGATGGACCGGTCGTCTTAGCCGTTACAAAACCAAAGTTGTCAGAACTTTGCCTGATTAGCGCCAAAAGGTGTCCACGGACAATTATAGCTGCAGTCTGCTCGGCTGTCAGGGATGTACGAGCACCGGAGGTTCTGATGGTGGGAACTGGCCTGTTGACTCAGGTATATCATTTTCACCATCAGGGACCTAAGTAGCACATAGAAGACCCATACGCAGCCACGTCAGTTTGGCTCCTCCTACTTGAGCTGGTCACCGGTCCGTTTTTACCAAATCTTATTCCTCAACCAGGAGCTGCTGGGTAGTGGCGTATCGCAGTAGCACATAAAGTAGGATAAGCTGTCCAAGAGCTTCCAGCCAGGTACCAGTCACACACCTGTGACTGCAACACACCTGGCAGCTCTTGGATTTTACCAACTGGAGAATGAAGAGGCTTTTGGTACTTTTATCAGTGGTGGTACTCCTTCCACTGACGCGTGGTCGTTCCACTGACGCGTGGTCGTTCCACTGACGCGTGGTCGTTCCACTGACGCGTGGTCGTTCCACTGACGCGTGGTCGTTCCACTGACGCGTGGCCGTTCCACTGACGCGTGGCCGTTCCACTGACGCGTGGCCGTTCCACTGACGCGTGGCCGTTCCACTGACGCGTGGTCGTTCCACTGACGCGTGGCCGTTACATGGTCGTTACAAACTCCTAATAAAGGCGACAAATCTGGCTTTCTGACGATGTCATTGACAAAAATCACTTTCAACATCAAGTAAGCAACCAAATACGAGTTTTCTACAGCTGTTTGAAAAAGGGACCTTATTACAAGCTTGCTGGTCTGAGGAAGCGCAGTGACCCTTAAATAACTTCCTGGAAAAGAAACTCAAAGAATCCTGCAAGAGAACGGAAACACGGAAAGGCTCTGATGTCTCGGACTGAACAGGATCTCCTGATTATCTCTGCCTGCAGGTTTCTGGTGGGGTGTAGTTCCCCTCACTCTTCAGGTGAAGTCCAGTTCCTTCTGATGGACCAACGTCCTCCTGCTCCACCGACACCAGCTGCTGCCACTGTGCTCATGAGAATCACAGCAGGTCTGTTTCATTTTAAGTGTCGCACCACAACCCTTTAAAATGGCACTAAAAAGGAGCCCTTTTTGTTTTGTTGTTGAAGATGAGTCATTCAGCAGCTTCTACCCAGAAGCTCACCTTCCCCTCAGCCTGATCCAGGGTAGACCCTTTTTCGTGGAGCTGAGACTGGAGCAGCCCCCTGAGCCGAACGCCGTGCTGCTGGTCCACTCCTGCCTGGCCTACACTCAGACTCCGGAGCTCAGCTGGGTGGTGTTTTACGACAGGTCTGTGTGGATGATGCAATAGTTGGTATGATTAAGCTGGTCTTTGTATAAGAAATCCTGCATGTTGGTTGAATTTCCTCCTGTTTGTGGCCTGGGTAAGTTGGACTTTTGTTTGCATGAAGAAATGAAAGCAGAGATTGGCTGGTTTGTTGGTTCCGAGTGCAGAAACTGGTCCAAGCAGGTTTATGACATGGTTTTAGTCATGAATGCAGCTTTAGGATCATCAAGGTCGGACCCAATTTTCTCGATTTACTGAACGTTCACAATAAATTGAAGCAAAACCATAGATCTGCAGGGTCCATTTAGTGCAGCAAGCTTTACAATTCTGGAAAGTAACAACTAGATGAACTTCTGCATCTGAATGGGGTTTCTATTTTTGTTAAACTGTTGAATGTTTAAATCTTTTTTTATTCACGATAATGTAAAATAAACCAAAGTAGAAAAATTCACACTGTTTGACAAAAAGTATTACAAGTCCAGTAGCAACAAAGCCAGGTCATCATCAGTCCACGGGTGTTTGTCAATGTCAAGGCGATGTCTTGCGAGGCCAGGCGCCTTGCTTACGAGGACACTGTCCTTCCTTGGCTTGCATCACGTGACCACTGCTTCCATGGCGGTCACATAACGTTACGTGACACGGGAGATAACGTTATTCTATACAGAAGTTTCTATATAAATGTAAGCCTTTTTACTTTTTAAAATTGTGTATATATTTAAATTAAATATGTAAGCGAGTTACTACCCGCTAGCCAAGCTGCAACTACTAAGCAACTAACCAACCATCGCTAACTGTTTTAGATCTAAAAAAAAAAAAATAATAACATTTTAAATTGCATTTAAACTTAAAAATTGCCCCCAAAGTAGCTGCCGGCTTCTGATCTGCCGTCCTTTGAAAATACAGTGGTGTATTCTGGGAAATTTGACCGAGGCTAGGCTACAAGACACCTCCCGTGTATCCTTGCTCAGCTAGCTAAACGGCTAACAAACGGAGAACATACGCCTCGGTAGATCATGAACTGTGGAACACGCCTTGGTGGCTCCCGATGACTGACTTATCTCCTAGGCAACAGGGGTGGGACCAAGACCTAAAGGCAAGGTTCCTTGGCATTGAGAAACACCCCATGATTCCGTAGCCTCCTTTAGCTCCCTCAAGCTAGCGTAGGTGGCGCCGATGTTCACTCTGGTTTTAGCTCTTTGCTTCATCTTCAGAGACATTACTCTAACGTTTACTCCAAGGCTCTGCCTTCCCTTTATGATTTTTGATTGGTGAACTGAGAATGCTAACGGCTAGCATTACAGCTAACAGCTAAAAAGGAGGTTACAGGTGCCCCCTCTAAAACACCCGCCTGCTCCACAAAACTATCTAATGCAGCTTTTGGTCAGCAGTGGGCTGCAGAGTGGTGTCGAACATTAAACTGGCAAAGTTTCTAACCTAGGAATCACTCGGATCAATGTTAAAGTTTCCAGAAGTCTGTTGGTACTTCAAGGGTCGATGTTTTCTGCCTTGCTATTTTGTCAACGTAAGTCTTTTCAACATTTGTAATTGTAAAATTTAATGTGTTCAGTTGCAGCAGCGGAGGATTTTCACAGCTGCTTCCTTCCTCGGACTCGAAGTACATCCAGAGGATTAAAATTCCCAGCTTCCCCTCCCTCCCTGTAGAAGGTTCAGCATACAGGTTTCATGGAGGATACCTGACCCTGGAGGATCCAGAGGTGGGTCCTGCACTCACATTTGGGCCACGTACACACACAGCCGGGCTTTTGAAAAAGAATATCCCGCCCCGCTCATAAGAAAAAAGCTTGGGTCCACACAAACTCATTTTCAGAAAAAAGCTAATAAAGTTTTTAAAGCCCCTTCATAGTAATGCCAAGCCTGTAGGTGGCGGTAGTTCCCCAAATATTTGTACTTGCTGAAAAACATACTTTAGACATTAAGTGACTAGGTGGTGGGCAACAACTGACCTCGACATCTGTCACCAGTGATCTTCTACATAGTGCAGCAACTAAGCTAGTAAAAAAGCTAACGAGGGTAAGCACAAGTAGCACACGTGTTAGCATTTTTGTCGCATGCAGCGTTGTTGCGAAACCTAAAACACAATTTTATTTACGTCCACAAACAAATCCTGATGACGCAGAGAGTTGTAAATCTCCACTTTTGGGAGGATAACGGCCCAAACTGTGAAAAAAAAATTCTGTTTTGTGGGATGCCTGGCCTCATGTGTACAGGGTCCCAGTCTCAGTCAGGTTTAACCAAATTTTTATTACCAGTGTTGTAAAATAACTTTTTTTATTCTTTTTCCTCAATCTTAGGTTCACTTTTTATGCCTGACAGAAATATGCTCAACTGCTCACGGAGACTGCAGCAGGTGCAACAAAGGTAAAATCCCTAAGCATATCCTGTTCCTCGAGGCCCACTGTCCCACTTGTTTTTAGACGTTTCCCTGCTCCAACGCCTGATTAATAATAAATAAAAAAATAAAATCAGGTCCTTTCAGAAAACGTGGATCATCTATTCATCTGAATCAGGGAAAAGTCTAAAGCGTGGAGGTTTGGTTGATGTCCTAAAGGAAAATACTTGGTGCTTTGGAAGTTTGTGCGTGTGATAATAGGCAGGGTGATTAAGGCTTTATGAAGAGCTACACCAGTACAGGACATCTGATAATGATTCTATTGAGTAACGATTGATCTTTTCCCACAGGTCCAAACAGCAAGTGACCGAATAAAGACTTTAAAAACTGCAACTGGTCTTTGTGTTGAAATGAGTAACAAATGTGCCTAATGTTGTGGCCAGTCCTGGGGTCTCATTTATCAAACATTGCGTAGAATCCTTACTATAACCGGACTTAAACTCGGCAAAAAATGTACTTGCACCAAGTAGGTTTGTGATCTATCAAACATGGAGTACACACAGCTGCACGCAATCCCTGCTTCATAAATCAGACTGACGAGAATGTTCTGTGTGAAAACGAAGCGGTACAAGTGATAATGATGCAGGATTTCATAATTTTATCCTTAGCGGCGGCACTGCCGGTGCTCTCCATGTCCAAAATGTGCGTAAGCCAGGTCAGCTTAAAGTTGCGCACATTTTTCTGCTAAGTTCTTTCACAAATCCCAAAGTTTGTGTGGAAAGTTGCTTAGGCAGTTCAATCACCTCATTTCTGGTCAAATCTTTGGTCTTAAAGGTTTAAAACAAATTAAATTGAACATGTTTTGTACTCTTTAATTGAAACCTTTAAAAAAACCTGAGCCTTTTCAAAATGGAGAAGAGATTGGAATAAATACAAAATGTAATTTGTAGCACAGAAATGTAGATTTTGAAATGGCCTGAATACAACACACGTGCTTGTCTACAAAAATAAAAAAACCTGCATTTCAGCCCCGTTTGGGTTGTGTGACCAGCCCCTCATCAACCAAATGAATGTTTCAGATCCAGAAACGGCATTTATCCTAGCCTGGCAAGCCAGACTAAATAAATGTATTATTTATGCAAAGCAAGAATTTGGTCTAGTTCACTAGGCTACATTTATCCCAGATTAGCATCCACAGTTCACATGCAGGAAAACCTCTACGACCACCGACGTGTTGGTTGAGCTTCCAGCAGTGGTCTTCAAGGAGACCGATGTGGTCAAAAGGTTTAGTTTTCACTCATTGTGATGCTTTCATTTGCATGATTACAAATGATTCCTAGCATTGTATGAGGTGCATGCAAAAGTCAATGATCCCAGTGTTGGTCCTTGTTCTAGACCACTGTAGTGAACCCTGACATGGGAAACCATGCTTTGTCGCCAGTGCTTGGAATTTGTCAAGCTTGAGGATTGAAACTTTTGGAGGATTTGAGTTCTGGAGTGTTTCCTGCACTTAGACCTAAAACTTCAATGATTTGTTCCCTGAGTCACTTAATTCTGACTTAATCCTCCTGGCCTGGTGATCCAGCATGCTGGAGAAGACTTTGTTCATCATCAAACTGTTAGATGGTTAGAGTGAGTTCATCAGGGAGGATGTTTAGGTACCATTCTTTAATCATGGCTGTTCTGTGACGTAAGTCGTTTCCTAGCCAAGGGAGTTGACTCAGGTGGTCTCAGGAAATTTACTGTTGGACTCCGGACTGATGGGGGTGCTCATCTATTCTTTAGGTGGTAATTTTATTTTTCAGATGCTCAAAGTCTGGATATTCGGTTCTCTACAGTCCAATCCGTGTGTCTTTACCATAAGTCTGCCCCGATTGTTTCCTTGGAAACAAACGTTGTTCGCTGTCTTTCCTGGAGATGTCAGACTTTGCAGTTAAATATAACCAAACTGCTCACTATTCTAGAACATTCATATAATTCAAATTTATTTGGCAGCCTTTGTTTCATTGCGAGGATGTTTAACTTTGGCTATATGACAGCAGGTTGGTATGAAGTTGGTGCCTTGATCTGTTGCAGCTGAGGTCATCATGCAGATGCAGAAGAACAAAGACTATGTCGGCTACCAAGAGTATGGTACCAGTAGTCACATGATCAGTGGGCATTTCCGCATCCACTGATGTACAAACTCCACAAAAACAATGCTCCATTAATAGTCAAACCTCTGCAGTGACGCTGAGAGAAGCAGATGTTTTGTCTGATTTTGGTGGAATAAAGAAAAAAGCGGGCAATTGAAATTGTTGCATGGTGGAGCTGTACTTCAGAGTTTAGGATTAGAGAATATGTTAAGGTTTGTATTAAGTTTCGAGTTTGCATGAATTGGCTGAGGACTTGGAGAGGAAATATTAAAGAAGAAAGTATCATTTCTATAGCGCCTCTCATGATAAAAATCACGAGGCGCTATGCAAAAACAAAAAGTAAAAATATAAAAAAGCATTTAGGAAATGTTTAAAAATATATTTAAAATGAGCAAATATAAGCAATTGTGATAAAAAATGTTAGAGTGAATAGGAAAATGTGAAATCGGTGGATCCTGAGGAAGGTAAAATAGGTGGGAAGAGCAGAATGGTGCGTGAGTGGTGAAGGTCATACAAAAGCCAGCTTGAATAAGTGAGTCTTCAGCTGCTTTCTGAAGGAGACCACTGAGTCCACTGATCTCAGGCTCAGGGGGAGAGAGTTCCAGAGTCTGGGGGCCACAGCAGCAAATGATCTGTCACCTTTGACCTTTAGCCTGGTGCTGCTCAACCAGTAGGCTTTGATCACTGGACCTCAGGGACCTGCTGGGGGTGTAGGGACTAAGAAGATCACCAATGTAAGATGGTGCTTGTCCATGTAAGGCCCTATAGACCAGAACCAGGATCTTGAAATGAACCCTGAAGTTGACTGGCAGCCAGTGAAGCTGGAGGAGAAGCGGGGTGATGTGGGTGTGTTTGGAGGACTTGGTCAGAAGCCGAGCACAGGCATTCTGAACCACCTGTAGACGGTTCAGGGAGGTTCTGCTCAGACACGTGAAAAGAGAGTTACAGTAGTCTAAGCGTGAGGAGATGAAGGTGTGGAGAACTGTCTCAAGTTCAGAGCGGGACAGAATGGGACTCAGCTTAGCAATGTTCCTGAGATGGAAGAAGGAAGAGCGAACAAGAGAACTGACATGAGAATCCAGGGTGAGAGCTGGGTCAAAGGTCATGCCAAGATTCCTGACAGAAGGTTTGGTGTGAGAAGCAAGCTGACCAAGAGAGTCTCTGACTTTGGGAACCAGCTTGTCTGGGGCAGAGATGAGGATCTCAGTCTTATCTTCATTCAGCTGAAGAAAGCTCCCAGCCATCCAGGTTTTGATAGAGTCTAAGCAGGTACGTAACAGCTGCAGCTTAGACATCTCATGGGGCTTAAAGGAGATGTACAGTTGGATGTCATCTGCATAAAGATGGTAGGAGATTCCTTTGAAGGAGCTCAGGATGTGCTGAAGAGGAAGCAGATAGAGGAGGAAGAGCAGAGGCCCCAGCACAGAACCTTGTGGGACACCATGGGTAAGAGAGGTGGTGGAGGACCTAAACTTGGAGACGGCCACAGAAAAGGAGCGCTCAGAGAGATAAGAGGAGAACCACTCCAGAGCAGATCCTGACAGGTCTACCCAGTCTCTCAGCCTCTCCAGTAGCAGGTGATGGTCAGCAGTGTCAAAGGCTGCAGTCAGGTCCAGCAGGACCAGAACAGAACAGTCTCCTGCATCACTGAGTCAGAAGGTCATTAGAGACCCTAAGAAGAGCTGTTTCAGTAGAATGAGCTCTACGAAAACCTGACTGGAAGCAATCATAGATGTTATGTTCATCAAGAGCAGCTGTGAGTTGTTTAGCCACAACCTTTTCCAAGATCTTGGAGATGAACGGAAGTTTAGAGATGGGCCTGAAGCTGCTATGGAAAGAGGTGTCAAGACTCGGTTTTTTTTAAGAAGCGGGTGGATTGCAGCGTTCTTAAAGTAAGCAGGGACCTGACCAGAAACCAGAGAAGCATTAGTTATAGAGAGCACGCTGGGACCGATGGACTGAAAAGCACTTTTAAACAAAGATGAGGGTAAGATGTGGAGGGGGCATGCAGAGGTCTTCATAGAGTTAAAGGTGGGAGATGGGTTTGGGTCAACGATCAACAAACCAAGCACTGTGCTGCAGATCACACCTGCGATCTTTGGGAAGTAGGAAGAAGGCAAGCAAGAAAAAGATGGTTAAAACTAAAATATTTCCCATTAAACACTTCAAATACATTAGTCATTCAAAAATAACACAACAGGTAGTTAACACAGCAAGATTTACCTACACTTTGTAGAAGGTTGAATTTTAAATGGCTGTTTTTGCTTTTATTTCAAAGTTCAAACATATTCTGAGTAAAATTAATCTTTTCATTCGATGACTTCAGAAATTCGCAAACCAAGCTGGCCCTGTGTGAAAAAGCAATACCCTCTCTTGTTCCACCATGAATTAACGGTGATTAAAACCATTATTTGTGAAGCTGCTTCAGTTCCTCCACCACACCCAGACCCATAGAACCTGTCTGACATGGATTGGGCCAAAAGACCTCAAAAAGCAAAACTTCATGCCCTGTTCTTAAGAGGGTGAATAACAGCTAATAGACCCAACATGGTCAAAGGTTCAACAATAAAGGAATGAGGAGGCAAACAGCTGCTGTCCCAAATCCCCACAAACACCCGTGCACATTTGCTAAAAAAATCTGCAAAGACTTCTGGGAAAATATCCTGTAGACTGATTAGAACCTTGTGGAAGGTGTGCGTCCCGGTTCATCGGTCTAAAACATCCCAATAGAAGCAGACAGGGGGGGTGGTAGTGTGGTGATGCTTTGCTGCTTCGAGACCTGGAACACTTGCTGTAGCTGATAGAACCAGTAATTCTGCTGCCTAGCATATCATCCCAAAGTACAATGTCTGACCTTTGACCTTAAAGGTGTAATCAGTAAGAATTAAACAGGGAAACAATCACAAAACAGCCAAAGGCCTCAACCATGTTGGCAGGAAGGTTATATTGAAACAGACCTCCTTGTCAGCCGGCTGAGAAGTTGTCAGTTTTTCTCTTTTTTTAAAAGGCCAAAGAGGGACGTAGTCTTTGTTTACAATCTGTTTTGCCTTCATACTTCCTAATTCCAGAGGCAATCGTATTTGAGCCTGCACCGGCATTTGTAATTTGACACCGGCCGGCAAAACTCACCAGAACTGTGTAAAGATCCAAAGCCGGTGAACGGGAGCGCCCCAGAAGTTATAACTTGTCCACCTGAGCAGCCACAGCATCCTTTTGTTTTACTCTAATAGCTGGTAAAGAAAGTTACAGGCTAACGTT